CAATAAACACTGCAATGGCAACAAAGTTGCTAAATTATAGGAAAAGAGCGGGTGGTAGTGCAACAATTCTTGTATTATGTTTGTGTGTGGAAAATGCAAGTCACGTGACTTAGTTTAGCATCAAAAACTTTTCTTGTGGCGTTCGACTTACAACTTTGGTTCACCTCAAGCTGCGTGGAAAATTCACGCTCGTTATATGTAACTTTTCGACATCATCAAAAGTTTCCAAAAAAGCAAAGAGAATGTAAAAAAATGAGTGAGTTAAGATTTCTGTACCCCTGAATGTTTTTTTTTTAAAAAACTAGCTCGAAATTTTAGGAAAATAATTTACAGGATGTTAAATGTAAGATAATTTCTTATTTAATATAAACACAGATATTTTTTGTTTGATTTTCGGATATTGTATTATTTATTGTATTTTAAATTTCAAATAATTATGAAACTAGGAAGGCATTGTGTTTATAAAGGTTCTTTAAGAAGGAATATTTTTATTAGACTCATTTATTAGGGCTGTGAAAACTATAAACCTTGTAACAAGATGTAGAGCTTTAAGAAAATCCCAAATGAATTCTCTAGAATTTTCTGCAGTTTAGCGTCAGCATTTTGCCAAATACACACGCCAAAGTAAAACCATTTAGCTTTGCATTGCACTCTTTATTTCTTGTACCCCCCTCTGGTTTTTCTCGTTCGGGGAGAAAGGCAAAGTCAAATAAATATGCACAACAGACAGCGAAGTCAGTTGTTGAAAAGCGCAATAAACGCATTTCTCAGCCTGGCTGCACTTTTTGTTTTGTTTCGTTTTGCAAACAAAAAGCGATGGGACCAAACAACAGAAACAAAATCGATAGTCGCAAAGAGCCGAAAATAAATAAGAGCATTTCGTTTACAACAGATACCGTGAATATAAATAAAAACTATATCAAAAAATGGTTTCTGTTAAAATATAAATGCTAAATAATATTAATATTAAAATGAACTTTGAAGCTTATAATAACAAGAACATAACAACAAATTATATTTATTTGATTATCGTTTATCAGAATTAAATATAAATCAGCATTAAATCGTTTTAAAAGGTAGATGAAAATGCCTGATTTAAAATCTGCTCGTTGGGTAATTTTAATTTTGCGTTGATTTAAACTATTTTTAGAGGCACTTGTTCGACTAAAAACCATCTAGCCACGCCCAATTTGTCTTGTACTTCTTTAGATATATAAAGTCGTACTCTCCTTTTTCCCCGTCGTGTGTGCCTGTGCTTAGCTTTATTTTTATTAGTTTATTTTCGTTTGGCTTTTCGTATGACACGCGAAAGGTCTTTGCACTTGACAACAACATGGAAAGGTGGAAGCAAAAATTTAAACCGAAAGGGGGAACAACAAAGTGTTCTCGGACTCCAACCTTCTCAACAATTTCGCCTTGATTTCGTTAAACAATTTAATCTTGATGTTTGACTCAAGACGTTTCGCACATCTTTGGGGCATTCATTTTTTACTCTCACACTTCAAGCAACGTTTATTTATTTTCGGTGTGTGTTACACACAAAAATCCAAAGTCAACAAGTTTTCGTGCTCAAAATTAAACGTTGTTAATGTTGTTATACCCTAGTTAAAAACGGGGTATTATAATTTCAAGGATAATTTTGGAGTGCGCAAAGATATTTTCAAGTATGGTTGGTTTTTTTTTTCTATTTAACGAATTATTTATTTGTATTATTTTTTTAATATACAAGTAAAGCTACAACTTCGGTTAGCCTGATGATAAACATAAATTTTATATTTGTAAAACGGTCTTGTAAGTTTTATAAATATATGTCAAGTATAAAATATGTACTTATTAAATTAAGTTTGCGACGTTTGTTATTTTTGAACTTTCAGTTGGTTTCTTTGGTTTATCATAAGTTCAACATGTGTTGCCCAAATCTGGTCTAATAATTAAAAAAATAAATCAAAATTATTCTGGGCTTTGTGAATGAATCCACCATCAAGGCTAACGATAATTGTTCTATTAAAATGAAAATACGAAAATGAAGATATACTTTTTAATTGAATGAAAAACTGGTTTCTGGTTTTTGACTGTGTGTGTTTTTAAAGGCTCTTTGTTGTTATTAGATTATTCATTTTACTTTGGACATTAATTTTGTCGGAGAACTGGTTCATTATGTGTGCGTATCATGGCAATTAGTTTAATGAACTAAAATATTTGGTCTATAAATAATATTTTTCAGTCACATTTTGAATTGGCTTTGGATTTTTATTTAATGGCTCCATTAATTATGCTAAAATATCTATATTGAAATTGCAAAACTCACTTAAAAATAACATACATTTTAACGTAAGATTTTTGATTTATTAGATTATAATATTTATTTAAACTTATAGCTTTTACCAATCGGAATAAGCCAATTTTCGTCTCCTAAGAAACAGCTTTTAAAATGTAACAATTTTAATTTATCTTTTGAGAATTCCGATGTCAAGTTATCTGCAATTTTTTATTTGAAAAGATTCCGGAAACCTCCAACCTGTCAAGCCACTTTCAATCAATCCAGCGAATATCATTTACATAACGTATTTACTCATCAACACCAACTTTTTAACCGAATGAAAAGAACAACAACAAATTTGAACACAATTTAAAAGAGGCAAATATAAATTTTACGCAGATTGTTATTTTGAATTTTTTTTGGTCGACGGTTCCTGGCTTTTGCTATTTATGCTTTGTTTTGTTGTTTCTTGGGATTCTCTTTTGCACGAGCCTATGGGCAAAAACCACCAACCCCTTTTACAACCCCCTCTTTTTTTTTCCTTTGTCACTCGTATTTTTCTTTTTAATGCGTTCGCCTATTTGCCATTCTAAGATTTTCTTGCCGTTTTTGTTGTTTTTCTGGCTATTTCTTCTTCTTCTGGCTATCGTTGTCTTTGCCTTGTGAGTATTTTCGTTGCCTTCGCTCTCGCTCTCTCACGCATGTTTTGCAACAAAGAGGAGGCCGGTTTTTGTTTTCTGTCTCTCCCTTTTTTTCTGGCTCACGCGCTCCCTTTTCTGCTCAGCTGTGTGTGTGCTGTATCTGTGTGTGGATTGTATCTGTGAGTGTTTGTATCTGTGTTTTTGTTTTTTGTATCTATCTTCACAGTCAAGGACAAGTTAATGAACGATTTTCTCTGTTGCGTGAATTTTCCTATTTGGGGGGAGGTGGGTGGTGAATTTGTTTTGGTCTCGAATCACTTCAATAATGCACACCGAAAAAAAACATCGAATTGTACACATTTTCATATCGAGATGAGTTTTAAATATTTTTACACATAATAGGTTTATTGATGCTTTTTTAAGCTTAATCTATATTATTTTAATACCTTTATTTCAAATTAGGTAAATGTTTTAAAATAATCTGTATAATCTTTAAATACTAGCAGGTCGTTTTTCTGTGTGCATGAGTCTCAGCGAAAATCTTCTTTCCTCGTTTTGTTTTGTTCATTAACAAAATTTAAATTTTGTTGTTCACTTTTCCGGTTAGTGATTTTTATTTTGCTCGGCGCCGCATTTTTTTGGCACCTCTTTGGATTTTGTGCTTATTTATTAATTGCGGTTTAATTAATTTATTTGATTTATTTTTTCTTGCCTACCCAAAACATTTTCATTCACTTTCTTGCACTTTGTTGTGAGGGACTGTGACCCATATTAAATACAAATTATTGCGTCAGCGGTTCGTCGAATTTTTCTTTTATTGTTTTTCAATTTTATTGTATCGCAGGTTTGGTAATCTTTTTGTATGTTTTGTGTCTGACCGCAGATCCAAATTCGCACTTTTCTGCCTTAAGCTTCTTTTCTTTCGCACTGTCAAGTTTTTCTTTGTCTTTCGCTTTATTTTTTTTACGCTCTCCCCGTCTTTGCCTTGTTTAAAGCGCTTTGGCTTTATTTACAATTTTTGGTTTAGCTACGCTAAATATTTGTTAAAAGATTGCCATGTTTGGTGAGCTTTGGAGTCATAGCTCATTGAAATCCTGGGGGTCTGTGAAATTGTTGTCTTAGGTCATCGACAACTTAGAAATAAGAAAATATAATTTAAATATTTGTTTTAATTCATAGTTAAAGATTTTAATTAAAGATAAAATACTGGTAGTTCTGATTATAATTTGGATTTCTTCTAATTATTAGATAATAAACCTAGTAGCTCACAATTTCGGCTTGAGACTGCCTTGCGCTGTTTTTAATGCAAAATTCGCAGCTAAGGTGTGCTTTTAATTTTCCACCCAACCTGCAACACCACCCCCCTTTCGGCCTGCCCCCTCTGTTCAAGCCCAGTTGATAAGCTCTTAAATATTTAAACTGTGTGTCAGGATGTCGGAAAGTTGCCAGATGTGTGGGCGGTTGGTGGGGCTTATTCTGTCGCATTATGACGCAAGGAATTGCCTTTGGGAATGGTTAACACACACAAAAAGAAAAAAAAGAGGGCGAAAAAGTTAATTAACAATTTGTTTGCAACGCTCCGTTGACATTAAATGTCGCGATGATGTGATTTGCTTGATATTTGCGTTCCTGAAAGCTACGAATTGATAATGGAAGTTCTCTCAAGAACGCAATTCATCCCCAATTAAAAGCTGCTATTACCGCAACATTGTTATTCATGATTCCGCGGTATTTCTACCGTTTTTCCTTCTTTGGTTGTTTTGTAGTTGTAATTTACCTGCAAAAAATTAAATATATAAATTTTTAAGAGGTGACGGGACATTTCCCAAATTTCAGATCATAATTACAGCAAGTTTTTAAAGATCTAAACACAAGCTCATTTATATTTGGATTGCTTAAATGGATATAGGTATATTTAACCTTTTATTTATGACGGTTTTTATTGATGCAACAAAATTGTACAATTAAGGTATATAAAGGAGAGTCATAAATAAGTTTTATACATATAAAGTTAAATTAATAAATTAAATAAATTAATAAGGGAAAATTAAGAAACAATATGTGCAAATTTTTTATTCGTGATTTCTTTAATTTTTCAGATCACTACATCCACTGCCAAGAAATTGTGGGAGAAATCGGATGGCAAGGGCGTTACCTCTAGCACCCCTGCTGGACCCCTGAATCCCTTGCAGATTCCTGGCATCGGTGATCCCTCTTCGGTGTGGAAGGATCACACCTGGTCCACACAGGGCGAGAATATCCTGGCCCCGCCCCCTTCGCGAGGATACGCCGCCCATGGAGGTGCCTCCGATACTTCGAACAGCGGCAATGCGGGCATACTGAGGTGAGAAATCTAACACTGGCACACCATTTATTTCATAATCGACTCAATAGAGCGTAAAATGCAGATAAGGAAATTAGTTTCCATTTTATTACAAAACATACTTGTAAATTAACAAAGGAAAAATGAATTGGGCAATAAAACACTTAAATAGCCTGCCCTGTCAAATAATAATTTAAATTGTATTTATTTTAAGAAGACAGTTCAGACTATTTAGTCAGTTTTATGACGTACACTTGATTTAGATTGCTATTTGTAAATTCATACTTTTATTTACAACTCCAACGCTGTATATAAACCAACTTATTGCAATAAACAAACTGAAACTTTTATAAGGTGTTAAAATCGCTTTTGTTATTTTAATAATTGTTTAATATTGTATATTTTTCAGTCCCCGGGATTCGACTTGCGCCAAAGTGGTGGAGTATGTTTTCAGTGGTTCGCCCACCAACAAGGAGAGCCCTCTTTCCGGATTGGAGCCGCGATTGCGCAATCTGAAGTTTGACGACAACGATAAGGTATGTTTTGAACACTACCATACATAAATATTATATTATAATGTGCAATTTTAAATTGCAGTCACGCGATGATAAGGAGAAGGCAAACTCTCCGTTCGACACAAACGGATTGAAGAAGGACGATCAGGTCACAAACACAAATGGTGTTGTCAATGGCATTGACGATGACAAGGGCTTCAAGTGAGTAGTAGACAACTTTCAATCTTCGCCCCAGACTCCAACTAATTCTCTCAGACTAGAGTCTAAACTCTGGGTTGGTTAGAGAAACTGGTTTCCTCACTCTGCCAGTTGGTTTCTTCTCGCCTCTTTCCTCTTAACCGCAGAATGTTTTCATATTATGATTACTGAAACTGAAATTTTTCCAGTTCAAGGTTGGTTCTTTCTTTTTTGCATAAACTTTTACTCTTTCGAATCCACAATGTCGAGTGTTGTTAGAAAGGAAAGAAGTGGAGTTTTTCCAGTTTTCATCATGACTGGTAAACTGCTTAGTAAATTATGTCTGGTTATGTTCAATAGACTGGTCTAGGCATTATTTGTTAGGTACCAAGGTTACAGAACCTCTGTATAGGTACTATAAATGGTATTTACAACTATAGCAAATTTTTAATTTATTGTGCCCCTAAAATGATATGTAATTATATGAAGAAATCAATGTCCTTCCTGTTTTGAATTACATGTGCGTTTTTCACACAGTTTGAACTAAATTATAGCGTTTGGGCCAAACAGTCAGCGTGGCAAATTATTGGTCAAGCTACCTATTGATTATTCATAGTAAAGTTTGTAGCATATACTCAAAGAATTGGCTTACATATTATTTATCAATGGTCTAATCTTGAATATTTCATTTTGAGAAAGACTTGACCCACAGTCTTGTATCGATTACTTGAATTTTTTCACTTAACCCACATTTTTTGTATTTCATTGCAATTGCCATATCTACGTTTTGTATGTCATAAAGTTGGCAAGTGATTGTTGTGCGTCCGCCTACAGTTTTTGTATTTCCATTTATATTATTTATTATTAATTTTTAATTGTTATTTATGGCGATGGGGAAAGCTTTTTTCTCCATGTGGCCCACCTGCGTTTTGCGCCTTTTGACTTGACGCAATGAAAATACGACGACACTTTGAGTGAGTTAAAATTGAAATTTGTGGAGGTATGTTGAAAGAGTTAAGTTTTAAATAAGTTGGGGGAGTACATAGGTAGACAAGCTTTAAAGTGGATCTTTATTGGCTTAAACAAGTTGGCAAGAAATGGGAATACATTTGGAAGGTATTGATTCAATTCAGTTTGGTATAAATTAATTATAAAATGTTAATGCAATTAATTTTCTTCACTTTTTTATATTTATTTTGGCTTCAAAATTGATAGAGGAAACAAAAAATTAAATATAATTCTAATTATTTTTCTTTATATAAAATTATTATAAAACTATTATTGTGCTATTACCATGTTTAACTACTTCTATTTAATATGTATTTCTTTATAGTTTTTTTAAACTACTACATTATTTTGAAATCAAAGGGTATTTGTCGTTCATAACGAAACAATTTCTGAGCAACTTCCTCTTATCAAGCCACCACATTTAAAAAACTTAAAAGAAACAAAATATATCAGAGACAAGTAACCAGCTTTTAGGCCTAACAAAAAGAAAAAGAAACCAGTCTGCGGTTTGTGCCTCTCTCTCTTTTATTTATCTCAGTTTCTGCTTTGCCAGCCGGCTGGTCTCTCAGTTTTTTTTTTCCGCTGACGCTGTTTTGCAATTTCATTGCCGGTTGGCCCAAACATGTTTCAATGCCAAACGTAATAACTATTATGATGTAAGTGGCAGCAACAGCAACCACAAGAAAAGCCAGAGAATCAGCTACGCGAATCACCTGCAAACAAGAGCAGCTATAAGAAATCGAGACGATCTTACCTGTTCCGGTTTTATTATTCACAGAATTGGTTAGACTCTTATTTGCTTATATATCTGACTACACAATATATTTAAATATTTCTCTTCTTTTGGGTACTTCCTTCCAAAATGGAGAACTGTTTTTCTACATAGTTCTCAAACCCCATGCATAAAAATGTAATTTTAGAGTCTAAATTGACTTATATTAAGATGGATAATGTTCTTGTAGCCACCAGATTTTTTTAACCTTAAAAATGACAGGCAATTATTTTAAATATGAATTATGAATTATTTTTTTTTTACTTTTTACATAGTTTGCTATTAGTTGAATTATTGTGAATTAAAATTCATCAGTCTAAGCTAAAACTTTTACATTATGTTTTATTTAAAATCAAATGATTATAAAGGGGGAACAATGTAAAAAAAAGCTTTCAACAATGAGAAATGAGACAGACGACAACAAATAAAAGTGATGAAATGAAATCGAAAACGTTTTGTATGTTTTGTATTTGCTTTACACTTTTCGATTAGTTTTCGTTTGATATTGCATTACAATGTGGGCTTGAGTTGCCTTTTTGATTTTGTTGTTGCCGCTGTGGCTGGAGGTTTCTTTTTTATATGGTTTTTTGTTATTGTACGTTTTGTTTGAAATTGAAGTTGCGAAAACATTGAAAAGCGAAAAGCGCTGCTAAAAATAATTCGAGGCAGGCAAAAGTGGACAGTGGAGTGACTCACCTGACTGGCTTACACACTCACTGCTTCTTCATTTGCCACCTGCCAGGTGACCCAGACTGCTGGTAACCTATTACTGCCGCCCCCCCTCCCCCTTTTAGCCCACTTTACCACTACCACTCTGACCTTTTTGGCTGGCGATGCCTCATTTTTTTTTTGGTTTGTCTGCCCCCCTCACCGCTCCCTTGGGGGCAGCACTTTCTTTTGTCTCGAAAGTGAACATTTTGGGGCAGCGAAAGAGGAGCAGCGGGGTCGATGGGATTATATAAAACATAGTGCTTGGGCTAGGTCAGACCTGACTCTCAGAACTCGGGGGCCAATGGAAAGTTGCCAATGAAAACCTGACCTCAGCCAAACTGTAGAAGTGAAGAAAAGTGGGAATGTGAAATCTTGTTTTTTTTGGGGGCTTAAGACAAAACACTATTTTCCATATTCCTATAAAAAAACCAGGTTTAATGCTTTTCGTAAATTTACAATTAATTTGAATGATTTTTTTAAGTAGTAATTAAAGATCCTATTTTTTTTATTACTAACTGTAATATATTATGCTTGGTTTGGCATCTTTATTTCTATTCAGACTAATTCAATTTCAGTTTGCTTTCCTTAATATATGTGTTTTATATATTGTATATAAAGTTAACTTAAAAACTAATTAACTGTAGCTAGCCAAAATTCTCTAGAATAGAACGAAAAGGTTCTGCCTATGCCTGGTTAAGCTCACGACTGGGAATATTTAGTGCCAGATGGTTAGTAATCACAACCAGAAGTCTAAAAAATACTGAGCTAAGCTGGATGACTAACACATGTTTCTATAGTTTGAAAAGCTTATGACGTGAAATGTTTATAAAGCAACCAAGATTGATTACCTATAAAAGTGGCTAATAATTTTTAATTAGCAAAACGTAAGCTGAACAAATTGATAATAATTAAAATCTTAATATCAGTTATAATCTACAATATGGTAACTAATAAAAGTCTTAAGAGCACTTTAAACTTCATCAAATATTAAGAAGAATTATTATTAGTAAATTAAAATCTAACTTTACAAATGGCTTCAGAGCAATTTATCCAACTATTAAAAAAATAGTTTCACCAACACTGTCTGAGATCTCTAAACTTTTGTTCTGCCGCTGAGCTTGTAGTTAGTTGCATTGTTATAAATGCGATGTGAATGACCTGACAATGAAATTATAGCTGGCAAATTATATACAGGCACACATGCAATTGCCGCTAGAAAGAAAAGACAAACAAAGTAAAGACTAAAGAGTTGTAAAAACAGTTGCAAAGTCATCGACGTGAGTCTGTGTTAGTTGCAGTGGGTTAAAAGCAATGAATGAATGGGAGCTGCCGTGCTAAGATAAATTAATTAATTTATCGGCATGACTAACGCATACACACGGTGGCAAAAATTTCAAGTTTGGTCTAAAGTTTTGCTCTACGATGTGATTTGCATTTTAAGCGCCGTTTGTTAAAATAGCTTTGATTTTATGCTGATACTGTGTTTAATTTATGGACTTGGTTCAGCTGCTCGGGTGACGTCATAAGTGACTACCAAACAAGTTTGCTGCTTAAGTCTTTTGTTTTAGTCTCGTTTTTGTCCAGTTACTGTCAAGTTGAAGCGTTGATTTTTTTATATTTTTTTTTGTCAAATGAGTTAAATAAAATTTCTGCTTAATTTCAATTAGTTATTTATAATTTTGGCAATTTTATTTAAATTTTGTTTGTCAAACAGCTTCTTTTCAATACTAGTACTAAATATTAATTAGTCCATTTTCAAGGGTTGTGTGTCTCTGATAATTGTACGGTTTATGACATGGCTAAGCTGTTGTTACAGTCAATGCTAAACTGCATGACTTTCAAACTATTTGCCAGCACATTTTACAACTGTAATGTCATATTACATGCTGTTAAGGTCCTTTGGTGCTCTCAAACTGTATACAAATTGGATGTTATTACAAAACTGTGTAATTATTTTAATGACGGCTTTTGAGTAAATAAAATTACAGTTTTTTTAATTACAATGGCATCGAAGTATTTTAAACCATATTTGAATTCTTTGCAATGAATTTAATGAATACGAATTCATTTGTTTAACACAATCTTACTTTATTTTGTATTACAGTCGCACCCCTGGTTCACGTCAACCGTCTCCCGCTGAGGAGTCCCTGCCACGCCCCCCAAATCTACTCTTCCCCCACTGCCGCCCCCCTTTAATCACATGCTCATGGACCATGGTCAGGGCATGGGCGGTGGACTGGGAGGGGTCGTCGGATCTGGCAACGGGGTTGGTGGAGGGGGCGGCGGAGGCGGGGCCGGCGGTCAGTATGCGGCCCACCAACAAATGGCTGCCCAGATGAATCAGTTGCAGCCGCCGATGATGAACGGCGTTGGTGGAGGAATGCCAATGGCAGCTCAGGTAAGATAGATTATGAAGTTTTACCTGATATATGAATGGGTTACAAATTCAAAACATATATCTAACATATATCATTTTACAGTATTTTATAGGTGGGAATAATACATCAGTAATGTTTAATACTTAATTACCTCTTTTATTTGCAGTCACCCATGTTAAATCACCAGGCAGCTGGACCCAATCATATGGAATCGCCGGGAAATCTATTGCAGCAGCAAAATTTTGATGTTCAGGTGAGTTTAGATGAGTAGTCTGTGCTCCCAAAGAATTTGCCTTCCTTTCCATGGCCTCCAGAGTGACATTTTCATTGTGGTTTCGCAACCGAAAATTTGGGTCATCCGAGTGGTGGTGTGGGAGTGGCAGTGGGAGTGGGCAAACACACCGTGTGTGTTGGAGCCACAGAAGCTGGCTAATTTTGCACATCCGCCGGATGCTGCAGTTGCGTCCCCTGGTAGCCATTTCCGCCAGCCTTGCACAATGCTCACTCCCAATGCACCACTCTCTCCATTTCTCCACTTACCACCCCCTCTGCGTCCCCCTCTGCGGTGCCCATCTCGTTGCATGCAATTTATTTCGAAACAAAACGGAAATCGGATTTATTAGCCGCAAAATTGCTTTTAAGCTGGTGCTCTTGTGTACCAGTGGCTTTCAAACCGTCATTTGGTTGCGCCTGTTCTCAGTCAATTTTCTGTGGTTACAGTGGGCTCTTGATATAACATTAACCCTTATGCAAAACTACAAAGAAACCATTGAAATTATAAAATTTCCAATTTATAAATTTATTTATAAATGAAATGAATGAAAACCAAAATAAATCTTGAAGTACATAAAGATTTGGTAATTAAATTATAATAAAATGATAAAATAATTTTAATAATAATATACAGTTGAAACGCACATTTTTTTTCTTTTCAACGAGTACACACTGTATCGCAGTCAATGTCATTTCTTTCTGTTAACTTCAGCTTTATATCCAACAAACAAACAACAGAAACGCAGGCTCTTTCCCTCCGCTTGCCAAATTGAAAATCAATATGCGTTGTTGCAGTTACCGATGCTATATCCACAGATAACCTCTCTCGATCCCAGCCCCTCCCCCCTGCGCCCCCGTGGCCTTCAACTGTTGGCCGCAAAGCAAATTGACATTTCCACACTTTAGTAGTCGTTGTTGAGGCTGCTGGGGCAATCTGCACTTCCGCTTTTTATCGCTCGCTCCACACATCCTGCAGGCATTTTTGTGTCGCTTTTGTCTTCTCTTCTGGCCGAAAAGGACGAAAAGGAGGAGGGGGTACAAGCGCAGCAGAAAACTTTATCGTAGCTCTTTGTTGGCGTGTGTGTGTGTTTTAAGTGAGCCTGAAAGTATGCTGCGCGAAATTGCATCAAAGTGACAAAGCCAATACACTAGCAGAAAAAAGTTGAAAAAAAGGAGACAAACAGCAAGAACAACAACAAGCATAAACTATAGCCTGATCGAGGCAAAGTAGCTGGAATGTCATTATGGTTGAAAAATTGAAGCTGCTTGTGGCGGCAAAAGGTGAAAGTTTAATGCGCTTCCTGTGTTTTGCGGAAAGTTTTTGCTTAAGCACACTATACTCACATTAAATTCCTATCAGGAAATTTAAATAGTTTTCTACGGTACATTTTCTATTTATTTTCTAAGTTAATTGTTGTTGGTTAGAAGATGCAAAACAACTTATATTATTATATATTGCTTTAAATCTATTGTAATAGAATGAAACAGCTAAATTACTTATAAGCAGCGAATGTATTTATTAAATAATACAAGTAATGTATAAATTATTTCTACATCAACTATTTTTTCAACCATTTTAAAACAGTTAGATTTTAGCTTACATCAAAACATCTTCTTAAAGGTCAGTTAAAAGTGAAATGTCTTTGACCATTTATCGCTCGCTTTTAAAGCCAAAAATCCATAGAGTTTATATATATGTGTAAAAATAATGATTATTATTATGTTCTCATATTCTCTCAGAAAGATAAAGCAATTTTACACACTCAGACCATAAATAAAGTCAGGAAATGAGACGGACAAAGACCAAGATGGAGGACAGATATTGGCTTCATGAAAAGGACCATGCAATATGTTGCCGATAATGGATAATGCAAGGCATGCACTCAGGCATTTCCCCCGATTCTTTCTCACTCCAGTTTCGATGGCTTTCGTGCATATTTCTTATTAAATTGGCGTTGATATTAACACCGAACAGAAGCAAAGAAAAGAATCTTGACGAATCGCATGCAAAATAGCGATGAAAACTGAATGAAAGGAATTTTTTTTTGGGTTCCAAGAATAGCTTATGGCAAGGACATACAATGAAAGCGATTTTTGACAATGGTTATGCAATAAATATGAAGACGAACGACTTGCCGCTTTTGTTTGTTATGAGATTTTGAAAGGAGAATGAACAAATTTAACATGTTGAAAAGAAATATGGAAAAATGTGATGATATGTCGGAAATATGTATAGGAGAATTATGTGGGGGCAAGTATATTGGTTTTTCTGTGGTTCAAAGTATTTTTTGTTCAAATTTTAAAATTTATTTTCTACGGGAACGTCTATAAAATGTCAGAATGTAGAAGACAAATGGATTGATTGCCACTGAAATTGTAAACAAATCATTATTTATATGCACCAACAAAAAAGTCCCCACAATTCGAAGGAAATGGTGGAAAACTTCTTTGAGAAATCTTTGAAAATTAATGCAAAGAAAGAGCCATTAATATAAATTTTAATATGACCAATATTATGTTTGCCAAATATTTAATTAGAAATTTATTTTAGCAAACACAAGCTTGTTACTCTTTTTAGTCGAAATTTTGTCCATTTCCGACCTTCTTTTTAGAAAAAAATCCAACTAATATAAACATTGTAGTTACAAATGCGGAAGAAAAGTTTTCCTTCTGTTGCGTTTACTTTACTGCCACTTTTTTTTCGTTTCGTCGAACACTTTTGGTGGCTTTCTGTCTTAGTCATGCTTCATTGGCTGCTTTTGTGTGTTAATCAGTCAGTTGGTAAGGCTTTTGTTGTCTTCAACGGGGCTTAATCGGATAATTGTTTTCGCTCGCTTTTCTCTGCCCAATTCAACTTTGATCTGAAAGTATTTTTAATTGATTTCAAAAGCGTTGGATTACATACTTTTTCTTTGGCTGCTGGTACTTAATCCACTTTTCTTGGTAAATCAGAAAGTTACGGCAAACGATGCTTTGAAGAGTATTGCTTGCTTTTTTAAACATTTTTGGAACAAACATTTTACAGAACAAAAATATAAAATTTTAAATCTTTAACTTAAACAGAACCACTTAAATCTATCAAATAATTGCAAATAATTATGCCTGTATTATGCAAATAATATTTTTATGTCTGCTTAAGTGTCTAATTTATGCATTACAGTCGGAAAATAATTTTGTATTATTTTTTTTATTCGTGGCATAGTTTTAGGTGAGTAGGCAAATAAGATTTAACATATGGCTTTTACTAATGGGAGTGGGTTAGCAACTTTCATGCCGCACAAATGCCAAATGCATTCCGCATTTAAATTTGTCGTGCATAATTTATGGTCGACGAAGTGCGAGTGAAAATTTGCATAAAAATGCATTTAAATCAATGAAATGCATCATCTGTTTTGCTCCTTGCATTTACTACCCCATTTTGTCCCTGGGTTATATTAATTCAGCAATTAATTAAGCGTTAATTGGCACAAAAAGCATATAGCTCATTACGTATGTGTGTATGCCACTTAGTAAATTAATTTCCAATTGTCCATGGGCAGTGTTTCATTTTAATGCAGGCCTGCTCACTTTTTGTTCAAAATGATTTCGTTTTGCATTTGAAGCTTAACGCGGTTTGAAGATTGGAAGTCGAATTCACTTAAAATTCAGCAATAGTATTGAAAACATTTGCATTTTAGATGGTCAAGCTATGCAAATAGTTGGTTTATTTGTTTAATTATTGAAAATATTTATAATATATTAGGATTTAGACAATAGCTTATATATTGATCTATTTATATGAGCCTAAAAGCCTATTTTAAATTCCCTGATTCGATTCTATAATTATATTTGCACCAACTTAAGTTCAGGTGTCTGAAACTTGCCAATCTTTTGGTTGTATTTTTTTATATTTGTGTAACTTTTTAGCTTTCCCTGGGCAACCTTATTCGTTTTGCTTTAGTCGGGGAAGACTTTCCAGTTGCCAAGGGCAACGATAAATGTAGCTTGTACCCCTGCCCCAATATTATGCTCCTGTTATCAGGCAAAAGCCATAATCAAGTGGTTGTTGTTTTGGGATGGAGGGGGCAACCGAAGGAGTGAAAGTGGGAGTGGGATGAAAACTGGGTGGGAAAGTGTCATCCAATGCCGTCACTTGACATTTACCGCCAATAAAGCCCAATTAGCGGTTACCCCACGCCTCGGATACTCCGTCTTCGTTGTCTTCCCTTGAAGTTTGTGTGGACACGCAAATGCTAATTAGTAAGTGGCAAATAGTTGACATCGGCTAGAGAAGGGGGCGGGGCAAGGGGCGGGTGTATGTGGGTGGTGAAAAGTGGCCGGGCGTCGCAAATTTGGTAGCCGAGACATTAATTAAGCGACGCCCTGATGCATGCTTCACAGCGTATGCGCTTATCAGCAATGTCCTTGTAGTTGGCTTCTGCTTAATAACTCGGTGCATGATATCCTTGTCAAGTTAGTATACCAACTCTAGCAGCCGGCAAAGCAATTTGGCTTTTAATCGTCCTTTATTTTCACTAAATAGTTCTGGTCAGAGACTTGGGTTCGAAAAAACAACCAGACATCCATAAATGTGATCTCCAAGAAAGTCCTTTTGTCCATTTAATATACATTTAATATACAAAACTTCATTGTTAAGGTACTTATAGATTGTATGGGTTCCATGTTTACAAATAAATTATATTTAAAAAAAAAAAAATTTAGAATTTAGAATAATTTTAAACGGAATATAATATTATTTAATATCTCACCTGCTTCAGAATAAAGCAACCATTTTATCCGATTATCTTAATGCCAAGAAACTTTCCCTTCCAATCAATCAAAATGTTTTCAGTTCGGCTTACTTATTAACACTTTTTAACTTTTAACTCCAAACTCACATGGAACTTTTCTACCTCATTGCTATCGGGATAAACTTCAAAGCTCGAGAAAGTAGTTTTTCAAAAGAAATTGTATAAGAAGAGTTTAGCGAATAATTTGCCT